AATAAAGTTTAGAACAAATTTAAATAAAAATGTCGAAGTGGACTGACTCGAATTTAATTCATTTTATTTTTCGAATAATAATTACATTAAATATGTTAAAGGTAAATAAATTTATTAACAATCGTTTCATTTATCTTTTTATTTATTTATTTATTGTAAATATAAACATAAAATACATAAATTTTCATTTAGGCAAGCATAATTTCGAAACATGATTAATTAGAAAAAGAACCATGTACAATTTTTTTTTTCAATTTAATAATTTATATAATGGAATTATTTGTTTTGTACGATTAATTACACTAATTATTAATTAAGAACAATATCGAATTATCAGAATAATGATAACAAGTAATAATAATTATAATTTTTTACTGATATTTGAAATATTTCATGAAGTACATATAATACATATATTAGCATTAATATGATGAGTCATATTTATAATGATAATCATTTAAAATGGCGGAAATATTATTTGTATTATATAAATTTGATTGTTTATTTCTATAAGTACTCAGACATAGATATATAATGGTAAAAAAATATTAAAGTGATTTTCTTTTATAGAAAAGTTTTACAAAATGCCCATCATGGAGCACAAATGGGGAAAATTTGACACACTCATCAAATGTAATTTAATATAACATGATAAAACTTTTAAATAAATAAAATATAATTGTATGGCTTGTATATTTTATAATAATGATTATTATTATTAATAATAATTTCTTTTTTGTTGTTGAATAGAACACGCCTCTGCAAGAAATCAAACAAACACAAAAATTGGGTATAATAAAAAGTTTATTTATTGATTGCGCTACCTCTGGATTCTCTTTCATTATATCTTTGGTGCTTACGTGAGCTACTCGAAATTTAAATTTCAAATATAAAAAAAATTCCGTAAGTTTTTATTCTTTTATTTAATTTTTTTTCTTTAATTTTATTAAATATAAATAATAATAATAATGATAATAATAATAATAAACTTTTATCAAATTAATTATTTATTTTTAAAATAATTTTTTTTTTTTTGCAAAAAAATTTTTTAAATTTTTTTTTTTTTTTATTAATCCAGAAAATTTTTTTTTTTTTAGTTTTCAATTAAATTATTAATTATTATTATTATTTTTAAAAAAATTAATAATAATACTTATTTACATTAATATCTTTTGTAAAAAAAAAAATCATCTGTTAAAAAAAAAAAAAGTTACTTTTAAAAAAGTTTTTCCTCTTGTTTTTTTCTTTTTTTTTTTAAATTATTATTATTATTATTATTATTATTATTATTATTATTATTATTATTATTATTATTATTATTATCATTATTATCATTATTATTATTTTTTTTATTTAAAACTTTTTTTTCAAAGGAAATGTTATTGTTGTTGTTGTTGTTGTAATTATTGAAAAAAAATGTTTTGGTTAATTTTTTTAAATTTTATTTTAAAAACTTTTTTTTTTCTATCAATTCAATGCAATTTAAAAAAAAAATAACAAATTTAATAAAAAGAGAGAAGAAATTAATTTTTCCGGTTATTAAAATATTTACATAAAATTTTTATGTAAATAAAACTAATACATAAAATTTGTTAAAACAAATATTATGAAAATTGAAATATTTAAAAAACGTTTTCACATCAATTTTTATTTATTCTTCTTATTATTATTATTTGATTAACAACAATTTTACCAAAAAATTTTATTATTATTATCAAA